TTTACCAAAATTACAAAAATATTCACCAAAATTAGAGAATTGAAGATATCATCACAAAATGAACAAACCTGAGAGAGGTCCACATGTAGTACCTATATATGTAATATCAAAGCAATCGGACTTACAGTTTTTAACAAGAAGTCGAAAATATCACTTTTTACCAAAAATAACAAAAATATTCACCAAAATTAAAGAATCAAAGATATCATCACGAAATGAACAAATCTGAGAAAAGTCTACATGTAGTATCTATATACGTAATATCAAAGCAATTGAACTATTGGTTTTTAACAAGAAGTCGAAAATATCACTTTTTACCAAAAATTACAAAAATATTCACCAAAATTAGAGAATTGAAGATATCATAATGAAATGAACAAATCTAAGAGAGGTCTACCCCAGGTACATACACACCAAGTATCAAAGCATTCAGGCTTGTAGTTTTCAAGAAGAAGTCGAAAAAGTAAAACATTGACATGGACGACAACGACGACGACGGACAATCACTCATATGATAAGCTCCGCTCGACAAAGTCGACAGCGGAGCTAAAAATGACAAAAATATTCACCAAAATTAGACAATTGAAGATATCACCACGAAATGAACAAATCTGAGAAAGGTCCACATGTAGTATCTATATATGTAATATCAAAGCAATTGGACTTGCGTTTTTTAACAAGAAGTCGAAAATATCACTTTTTACCAAAAATAACAAAAATATTCACCAAAATTAAAGAATTGAAGATATCATCATGAAATGAACAAATCTAAGAGAGGTCTACCCCAGGTACATACACACCAAGTATCAAAGCATTCAGGCTTGTAGTTTTCAAGAAGAAGTCGAAAAAGTAAAACATTGGCACAGCCACCGACGGACGATCACTCATATGATAAGCTTAGCTCGAAAAAGTCGACAGCGGAGCTAAAAAGGCAGTGACACACACATAAGGCTTTGTATATGCTCTTTCATTGGAGATGTGCTTCTAATATAGCAAGTTCAATAAAACAGAAACAGGGAAGATGACAACATTGAGCAAGATTTGAACAATCTTCGAAACAAATCACCAGGGAATAATCCAGTCAGATTTGAGTAATTTAGCAGTGATGTCAGTCACTGATGATTTGAGGCAATCTAAAAGACACTCACCATAAACATGACATGATGTGATAGTGGGAATATACTGCTGGCTTCCTGTATGCATGCAGTCGCTTCATCAGGCTTTTTCATACTTAGGTAGATTTCAGCTGCAAATAATAATAGTAATATTACATATATCCTAGAAACAATTATTTATTCATGCAGTATTTAAGGAGGTGACATGGCGCTCTAACCAGGCATATATTTTATTGTAATATATTGCATACAGTGTGAAATTACTTTAAAACTAGCTTCTCAATCTGTTAACTGAACCAATTATACAACTACCGATAATGTCTTTGTTGTTACTACATGTACAGTCACATTTACAGACTTTGCTGCATCAGGCAATTCAAATTTGAGATAATTGAATTTTATTTCAATACAGACATTGTGTAAAAGTGACATAGTAATGATGTAGTGAAAATGTTGGGAAATAGTAATGATGTAGTGAAAATGTTGGGACATAGTAATGATGTAGTGAAATGTAGGACATAGCAATGATGTAGTGAAAATATAGGGGTATAGTAATGATGTAGTGAATATGTAGGGTTATAGTAATGATGTAGTGAAAATGTTGGGTTATAGTAATGATGTAGTGAAATTTAGGGGATATAGTAATGATATAGTGAAAATGTAGCGTCATAGTGATGATGTAGTGAAATGTAGAGTTACAGTAATGATGCAGTGAAAGTAGGGACACAGCAATGATGTAGTAAAAATGTAGGGTTATAGTAATGATGCAGTGAAATGTAGGGACACAGCAATGATGTAGTTACAATATATAGGGGTATAGTAATGATGTAGTGAAATGTAGGGACATAGCAATGATGTAGTGAACATATAGGGGATATAATAATGATATACTGAAAATGTTGGGTTATAGTAATGATGTAGTGAAATGTATGGACATAGCAATGATGTAGTGAAAATGTTGGGTTATAGTAATGATGTAGTGAAAATATAGGGGATATAGTAATGATGTAGTGAAATGTAAGGACATAGCAATGATGTAGTGAACATATAGGGGATATAGTAATGATATACTGAATATGTTGGGTTATAGTAATGATGTAGTGAAATGTATGGACATAGCAATGATGTAGTGAAAATGTTGGGTTATAGTAATGATGTAGTGAAAATATAGGGGATATAGTAATGATGTAGTGAAAATGTTGGGTTATAGTAATGATGTAGTGAAAATGATGGGTTATAGTAATGATGTAGTGGAAATGATGGGTTATAGTAATTATGTAGTGAAATGTAGGGACATAGCAATGATGTAGTGAAATGGAGGGATATGGTAATGATGTAGTGAAATGTAGGGACACAGCAATGATGTAGTGAAAATATAGGGGTATAGTAATGATGTAGTGAAAATGCAGGGTTATAGTAATGATGTAGTGAATATGTAGGGTTATAGTAATGATGTAGTAAAAAATATAGGGGTATAGTAATGATGTAGTGAAATGTAAGGACAAAGCAA